CGTGCGTGAGGAAGCCGTGGAGCTGTTGGAATGGGTCCAGAGAAGGGCCGCGGAGATGGTCAGGGAGGGGGCAGGAGCACCCCCCCTGAGCGGACAGGCTCAGAGAATAGGGTTGTTTAGCCTGGAGAAGAGAGGGCTCCGGGGAGACCTTCTAGCACCCTGCCTGTACTTAAAAGGAAAGATGGGGAGGGACTCTTCAACAGGGAATGTAGTGCCAGAACACAGGGTAACGGTTTTAAGCTGAAAGAGAATAGATTTAGTTTAGATAGTAGGAAGAAATTCTTTGCTGTGAAGGGGTGACACTGGAACAGGTTGCCCAGGAAAATTGTGTGTTCCTCCTCTCTGGAAGCGTTCAACGCCAGGCTGGGTGGGGCTTTGAGCAACCTGGTCTCGTGGGAGGTGTCTCTGACCGTGGCAGAAGGGTTGGAACTAGATGATCCTTAAAGTCCCTTCCAGTCCAAACCATTTTATGACTCTGTACCAGAAAATGAACGTGAATTTTCCTCTCAGGTTGTATGTTGTGATTAAGCTGGGGAGGTGTGAGAAGGGCGGGCAATGAGTCTTCAGAGGTGTTAGGTATATCAGGGAAGGCTTTACTGATGACCACCTTTCACACTTGGGCATCCTCGCTCTCAGACACTTGTGCTGCAGTAGGACCACACGCCAGTACTGTGTAGGTCTGGTGCCTCAGGGTCAGGAAAGCACCTGCAGCCCCTCAGCTGCAGACAGGAATGGACTTTGTCCTGCTGGAAATAGGCAACGTGTGAATTTTCCATCATTGCTTCTCCAGTGTCTTGTAACTTGACTTCAAAGCACCCCATCGCCAAGGCTGTGACAAATGAGGTGCAGTCGGATACCTCAGGAAGTGCTTTATCTCTCCAGGACACTCTCCACAGCTGTGCAAAAGAAACAGACTATGCCTTTGCTGATGTTTCTCTGATTGTTGTGGGAGGTGGTGGCTGATGGAGAAGCGTCTTTTAGTGCTATCCAGGAGACTTATCTGGCATGAAACCAAGCAGTGGGTAGGACACTAAAATTCCAAGGAGCCTGAGAAAATAAGTCATACACACCTGTCTCACTGTTTCCTGAGGAGTACAGTCTCTTGGTGAAAGCAGTAGCACACAGAGATCTTGGGGAGGGGGCTGAGGTGATTCAGAAGCCTGATTCAGATGTCTTAGCGTGAGCATCGTGCCTACCTGTATTTGTTCTGCAGAGCACAGGCAGTCGCAGAGGAATGAGAAGGTTCAGTGCTCAAACCACGATGCAACGCATGGGCTCATTCTCTCCCCTGATGGGAAGCTTTCTGAACACTGGGCTACAGCTTCAGGTGACTGCTCTAAGACAAGGTAAGAAACTTTCATGGGGTGGAGGTATGGATGGTAACGGTCAGAAAATGTGGCCCACTTTTCCTACAGGTGACATCCAAGAGACTGAGGCATGTTCCTGTTGTAGAGAAGGAACTGGAACACATACAGCCCTTGTACCCAAAAGTTTATCTTCTTTTTTAACCCAGCAAGGCGTGCTCTCTGATTTTGAGAGATAATACCAAGATCTGAGCTGCTTGGGAGGCAAATGAGGCACATTTCTTTGAACCTTAGTAAGGATACTTACTAGCACATACCAGAGTAATGCAGATGACTTGCAAACCACACATGGCTTGGAAAAACTGCAGGTGAAAGAGCCAAGCACATTGCCACCTCCTGATTAAGCTGTTATGGTAACCATGCTCTAAAAATGGCACAGCAGTTTGCTGTGTCATTTTCTGTTAGCTTGTCCAAGGCTGAGCCTGATTCTTTTCCAGCTTGCCGTGGTGCAAACCAGAGTTGAATCAGTTACCCAGCTGCAGTATAAGAGCTGGCTGAATCAACATAGCAGTGGTCTATTTTTCTGCATGTAACTCTCACTAAATGTTCTAGGCCTTGTTGAGCAGAGGATCATCTTTCTTTACATTGTCTCATGGTACAGTATCCAACTATTTTGATCTATTTGTTTGTTTGTTTTTCACTTATTTTTATAGGCTGGTGAAAGAGCTAGAAAACCAAGAAATTGTTCAAATAGCATGTGGGAACCAGCACGCCATGGCACTGACAAGAGGTAGTCTCTTTTATGCACACTTCTCTTCCAAAAGGGAGTCACATTATGGTAGGCTTGCTCTCAGAAGGGAATGTCTGAACTCCTCCCAGTAGCTGGTGACATCATTAGAGACTAATGAATGGGGTGTACCAAGTTTGTTGGCTGTCACCATTACCCTTTGCTCCCAGCACCCAGGGGCCTGCAGCTCTCTCTGTCCAGTTCCTGAGAGCCACCTCTCCACAAACGTGTGTTGTGGAGAGCAGATGTGGCCGCCCCACTCTGCAGTCACCACGCCTGCTCCTTCTTAAGCTGCAGCACCTCTCTGGTTGGAAACTTCTTGCAAGTGTGGCTTTAGAGGTGGAAACACCCTGCCTTCACTGTTGCTGTGCTGAGTGACACGGGCAGCATGGTGAGAGAGCTCAGAAGCTCATCAGAGATCAGAAGCAAACAGGGAGATGTGGTTGCTGCTGATGGTCTCGCCTTGCACCTAGATCTCTGAACACAGCACTGATTTTTGCTCCCATTCCCAAAGCCCAAAGACTCAGGGGAAGCAGTGAGGTTGAGCTGTTTTATTCTGTTCTGTATGTGAAGGAGGTAAGCTCTTCGCCTGGGGCCAGAACACCCGTGGACAGCTTGGAGTGGGCAGCCGAACCACACTCATCCCCCAGCCACAGCTGGTGGAAAGGCTGAAGGGCGTCGCGCTGGCTCAGATCGCGGCGGGAGGAGCTCACAGTGCCGCCGTGTCGCTCTCTGGAGCTGTGTACTCCTGGGGAAAGAACCATTTTGGACAGCTGGGACTCGGAGACACAGAAGGTAAAGGAGGACAGAAGTAGCAGAGGTGTTTTCCTGGTCAGCGAGCTTACTGCAGACACAGGAGTTGCTCCTGATTGTCAAGCCCCTTTGGAGCAGCAGTGGACAGTAAAATCTTTTGAAGAAAGTGTATCTGGACAAGTTACTTGTTTCCACGCTATTGTATCCTGACCAGGAAAGGCATGAAGAGACAAGGGATTTAGGGCTTGTATTTCTACAGAGAACTTCCAATCATTTTATGTGGCCAACTGGATAGCATGAGCTCTTAAAATGATATCTCAGAGGTCCCTTTCTACTCCCATTCTCTCTCCAGGCAGTCTTGCATGAAGGAAATTTATTTTTTTACCACTTTCCCTTCTTTAATTCTCTGTAAACAGAAGGTGAGGGAAGAATTAAAATCACCCGTTGTCTTCAAACCTAGAAGGCTAGAGCAGAGTTGCCTTAGCCAGACAGAACCAGACATCAGCAGGACCCAAATGAGTCCACAGCTTTGAGAGTCAGATGTTTTGAACCCACCCAAGTCCCTTTTGACAAGCAGCTGTGAAAGTGCTGTGTTTTGTTCTACGTCAAAAGCAAATGAACTTATGTTATAGTGGAGGGTAGAAAACAACTCAAAACCAGGTAGTAAATACATCAATGGCCGTAAGAGAGAACTGAAAAGCTCTAACACCCCCTACTTTCTAAATCTTTGCGTGGGACCCCTCAGTACTCTTTCACTTTAGCATTGCTGTCTTCTTTCCAGACAGGGGCTGTCCATCACATGTTGGAGCATTAGAGCACTGGCAGATTGTATTTATCTCATGTGGGGCTGATCATACTGCAGTTCTCTCCAGGGTGAGTCAGAAATGGAGAGTCAGCATCTGAGACCTTGCCCTGGGACAAAGCTTATGCTGCTAAAACTCAGCGTGGATGGTCAACACCTGCTTCCATCCGAGTCTGAAGATGATCCATGAGAGATCCTAACTAAGCTGTTGGGAAAACTGGCCTTGTCTCAGATTTCTGACACCTGCCTGTAAATTTTTGCAGGGAGGTGCTCAAGGGCAATCATGGGGCAAAGAGGTTCAACCCTCAGTACTTTTTGAAAGTATTTTATTTTGTTCTAGCACGTTGGGGACTTCAGAAAATGTGAACAATAGCTAATCCACTAGGGTTTACTCCTACAAGTGAAATCCTTAAACAACAGGGAATTAGGTTTTAAACTGCTTTTCTCAGGAGTTAAATGGTTTGGACATTGCAGTGTAAAATTAGGCTCGGATGCAAAGTGAACCCTCCTTGTGTGAATAAGGGATGTTTTGAATCATGACCCATAAAACACACAGTGTCTTGCTGGCTCTCAGTCTCCGTGGTGACCATTTGAGTGCTGTTAATAATGCAGCGATCCTGTTGTTTGCTTCTTTGTCTTCAAGGAGGGGATGGTGTGCACCTTTGGAGCTGGAGGGGCTGGCCAGCTTGGTCACAACTCCACTCGGAATGAACTCATGCCTCGTGTGGTGGCTGAGCTGTGGGGAGCTAGAGTTTCACAGATTGCCTGCGGCAGGTGGGAAACGATCCATAACATGCCTTCTTAGGTCAAGCTTTTAGGGGAATAACTAACTCTTGAGGAAGAACAGTAGGAAGGGGAGTCACCAAGATGTTCAAATCCCTATATCCCAGTAGGTCAGCACTGTCAGAATATCATCCACTCTTCAAGTGTAAGCCACCCTCCTGCCACAGCCACTGTGAAAGCAGCACCCTCAGCCCATGCCAAGCAGAGTGAGAGGGCTACAGAAAATACCAGAAGCCCTTAGGTTTTTTTCTCTTTTGAGAAATGAAGGGTGTGCTGTGTTCCAAAGGCAAAAGACTGTCTAAAGCCTGTGTTAGGAAAGTCACAGAGTTCTTGTCCATTTTGACAAGCTGATGGGTGCTTAGAAAGAACAGAAGAGTGGTAATAGCTGCCCGAGTTCATTCTGCCTTTCTGGAATTGGGCCAGAAAAATCTTCTCTCAGCTTTCCTGTGCTTTGTATCAGGTTCATCAGCATAGAAGTTGCACTTGAAAAAAAATGGAAGGACATGAAGCTAGCAAAGCATAACACATTATTTTTGTATGTGGAACCAGGGTAAATCACAAATATTAGAGGGTAGTATAGGAAATTTGAGTCCATATCTTTCTTTATTGCTGAATGTGTATGCAAGGAAGGGTCCTAAGATTTTGCCTAAACAAATTCTATAGCTGGTCTGTCAGGACTTTAAAGACAACCCTCAGCTATCCACTCTGAAAAAAGATCTGTAAATTCTATTCTGACTAGCCCACTGATATTAGCTTGTTATGACTGTTTTTCTTTTTCTGAGCAGGCAACACACCCTGGTCTATGTTCCCTCCTTGGACAAAGTCTATTCGTTTGGTTCTGATGAAGGAGATCTGGGAGATGAGAGAAAGCCAAATCAGTTGATACCACTTCCTATCAATTTACCACTGAATACCAGAAAATCTTGTCAGGGTAATGATCATTGCAGATGTGTACAGTCTGTATTTATTTCTTCCAGGGAGATATTTGCTTCCTTGATTTCATGTTTACATTGAGAGGCTAATGTTGTGTGTCATGCTTGCTTGGTCATCCCAACACATTCTAGCAGTTTTAATAATTCTCTTTACTGCTTGACTTACTGTCATGGGTAATAGACTCATAGAATCAACTTCTAGGCATTCAGCCACTAACTGAGGGATTTTTTTTTACCATTCCACGTGTGCACTGAACTCTCTGAAGATAATGACTCTCTTAAAATGTTCCTTTGAAAATCTTTTTACTCCTTCACAGAAAAAAAAAAGTCACAGAATGTGATTGAAATTATTGCAGGAGGAAACCGAAGTATTGTCCTTCACAAGAACAACAAGGTACTTGCATATTTGATCATGGCTTCTAATTTTACATTTGTTCACATTTCTGCTGAAAACTTTTGGGTTTTCCATCCTGCTTTTACTGCTTTAAGTCGGGGTATGTCTCTTGTAGTTCTCTCCATGCTTACTGAGAAACTAACTTGTATTGCAACGATGTATCTGTTCTATGATTAATACATCCTGGATCCTGCTGGGTGACCATTAATTTACTCATACTTGGGCTGAAATCTTGTAATGATTGGCCTGAAAAACAGAATCCCATCTGCCAGTACCTTGTAACCTTGTAACAGACCTGTAACCTTGTCAATATTTTAATGTAGGCCACACAGAATTGCTATTTGAATGGAATTGCCACTCTGAGTGATAAGGAAGTGGATGCATGGATTTCAAATTCCAGGTCACAACATTGGGAGAGGATAAAAAAGTAAGTCAGAAAATTGCTGGGTCTTTTTTTCCCCCCAATACATGATTTTCTCTAAAAAATATTCTTCTTTGGAGACTATCATAGGAACTGATGTTCAAGAATTTAGCTGAGACAAAATCTTGAACCAGCACTTCTTACTTAGGTTTTATACAGAAAAAAAGAGATGTTGATAAGCCACAGCCCTTTGATGACTCTTTGGCAGGAACTGAGTGGACTTACTGCCTGGCTTCAGAAGCCTGTCCTCCTCTTCTTACACAGAATGGTCCTTAAGTTGAGGAAGAGCTGACAAGTTAAATCAGTGAAAGATTTGCTCTGCAGACGGAGGCCTTTTGCAAAAATAAGAATTCAGAGTACCCAAACTGGAATGTTTTGTGTGTGTCAGCATTTAAAACTTAATGATCCCTTCTTTAGTTACCCCTTTTCAAAAGCATTAAGTATATCCTGCTGTGGGAAGCCTTATACTTCTAGTTGAGAATTATGATTACGGAGTCTTTTTTCAGACCTTACATGGGGAGGCTCTTTTCTTTGGGCAATTCTGACTCCAGCTGCTGATTCTAAACATTTAAAAATCTTGGTTAATTTGGATCTAAATGTTTCCCTGACCACTTCTAGTATGGTTTGGAGCATATGGAAAGCAGCTGTTGAGAGGGTGAGAGAGACAGTTCTTCCCAGATCTCAACAGGAGGGTCCTGACAGCAAACTGCATGACAAAACAGCTGCTTTAATAAGAATAGAACCAGGAATACAGGTAGTGAGTAACTCTCATATCTCTTCAGATGCTGGGAACCCAGCTTTTGTGCAGCAGCAAATGGGATACCCTGGTGGTTTTCTCTCAGTGTGCTACAAAGATCCCATCTGTGGTGGGGTTCCTCCTCAGATCATGTCCCAACCTGTCGGGAGACCATCATATCTCCCACCAGCAAGCTGCACAGGCTGGCGTGGGGCCCTTGAGCAAGTTCCCTCACAAGGCCCAAGAGAGCAGAGGTGGCTTGCCAAAGATCACTAACTCTTGGAATACAATGTCTTCTGCAGTGCTCTCAGTACAGTGGTGCCAGGAAAAGCTTTATGTGGCCAAGTGCAGACATGCTTGTACACACGGGCTTTGTTCTTTCAGAATTAAAAACCTGAGGTTGCTACTCGTGTTGAAAGGATTGACTTGGGTTTGTTTTTCTACTAACAGGAATATTAGACTGGTCTTTTCATCTGAGGCTTGCATCAATGGAAGCTTCCTGGAGAAAAGGTAGTGTGTGCTGACTTAGGCATAACAGAATATAGTGGCTGCATGTAAGCTGACCAGGAAATGTTATTTTAGCCCACATAGGTTTAAAGAAGATTAATCATATATGAATTTGCAAGAAGCAAGTCTGTATTTCTCAAAGCTAAAGTTAAAATTAAGTTTTTATCTCCCCAGTCCTATTGCAACTTGTCTTAGAAGCTCACATTCTAGCAGATTATCCCACAGTGACATTTGGCAGATGATGATAATCCTTTAAGGCAGTATTACACTTCCCAAAGGATCCATAGTAGCTCTTCCCAGCAGTGAAGGGTGAAATACAGGTGGCCTACCAGTAACTGTGCATAGCTACACAAGAGAGGAAGGACAGGGTATTAATCAGGTCACACCACAGTGAGCATATCTTCTTAGAACAGATGTAATTATGCCTTCTGGAGTCAGGGATGAACTTTCCAAGTATTTTCTGATGTTAGAACGCTTCATTTTTCAGTCAGTAACAAAATCCAGCCTCTCACATCATCTGGCATTCTGTTTTTCCTTTGTGACAGAGGCAAACATTTCAAAACTTCCAAAGATGTCTCTGGTGTAGACATGTCAGAAGTGCAACGTTTTTATGAGAAGATCAGCAGGAGCCCAGAAGTCTTTCAGGAGGTAAGGGTTAGATACAAGGATTCTCACTACGCAGATACTGAAGAGTTCTGGATTTGTGCATGAAATTTGGGAATCTTGTGCCAACCTAATTCATAAATGATTTTGGCAAAAAACTTCATTGCATTTTTAAGCCTTGTCACTTTTTTTTTCCCTCTAAAGGTGCAAAAGGAGATTGAGAATTTACTGCCATCATTGTCTTCCTCTCCCATCTCACCTGAAAATTTCAGAGTCTACTTGATCTTGCCATTCCTTCTGCAGGGAGAGGATAACAGCTCTTACTGTTCTCTCAGACTGCTAGCACATTCCATCATGAAGCTTCAGCCAAAGGACCTGCAAACTCTTGGTAGGGTTTTGTGACGGTAAAACTGAATTCTTTAAATATGTGGTCAGTTTTGGCTGCAGAGCACAAGTTAGTATTACTGCCCTAATTTGTTCCAGAGTTCAGCCTGGAAGAAATGCTTTTGGTAGGAGTAGAAATATGGGGACCACACAGCAAGACATAAGAGAAAAAGATCATCTCAGTCTGAGTTTTACTCATTTTTGTAGTGCAAAATTAAGCATTTTTTTTGAATTTAGTTAATCTGATAGAGAGAGAAAATGTGTCTTCATCCACAAATTGCAGTTATTTGCATGTTACCTGTGACAGATACTTCCCTAGCTGTTTTCTTTACAGAGTGCCTGTGGGCAAATCTAGAAACATCCATTTTCAAGCGGCTGGTCATTCTGTATCAGAGGGTTTTACAGAACACCCTATCCCAATTCATCATGCAAATCAGAAGGTGGCAAAGAAATTCCTTTGATCCACATGAAGCAGCGACTCTGAAAATGCTGCAGATTCTTTACCAGGTGAGAACGTGTTTGGATCCTGATCGGACAAGACGTATCAGTATGAGTTAGAGGATTTTAATCCTTTTTACTTGGGAAACTTGGGTTTCCTTTCTACACATGGAGCTTTTTCACTTTTTTGTCTCTTTTGGCTCTGCACCAGCATAGCTTTGAAGGAATCCTGCTTTGAGTTGTGCCTGGCTCACCCTCTGTAGAAATGAAGAGCTGGAGGATGTTATAGCCCCTGGCAGGGCGAGGGATGCTTTCAGTGGTGTGAGGAGTGCATGCTTTGATGCATACAGAGCTATGGATGTGGTGCCCATTATATAGCATGTGATTGCCCTCTCTGCTGGTGAGATCCCTCACCTCAGTAACTGCTCACAGCATTTAAAAGACAACCCACTTGGTTGGCACATGGTGGCTGCCACAGTAGCGCTGCATGATGCTTTAAGTCTGTTACCTGAGAAATTTTCTTGGACAGTGGAATTGGAGCATCTTTCACTGCAAGGGAAGAAAGAGGGCAATAACTATTCTTCTCGACAACCAGCCTTTCTCCAGCTGAGATGTTCAAACTTTGGCAAAATCAAGAGCTCAAGCATGCACTCGGTATGAATTAGAGAGAGTTGTTAAATTTTGCTCAGAATCGAATATCCTTTTGGCTGAGGATGTAGATTTGGGCCTCAAAGTTTATTTATGGCTCTGTATTTATCCAGATAAATTAACTCAAAAGTTCAAGAGATCTGCTCCTTCCTAAGTGGTTACATCATCAGGAGCTTTACAGGTTCACTGTTCTCCCCCAAAACCATATCTTTGCCAGGCAACAGGTATGAAAGTGAACAGGGAACTTCAGATTGCCCTGCAATGTGAAGGACTCAAAGTGAAACCTGCACTTCCTGATGGAGTCCTGTTAAGGTCTCAGAGCTCTTTCTGCAGAAAGCCCTGTTATTCCTTAGTCCTGTCCTGCCACACAGATGCATAGCTCCTAAGATCTGCTGACACCCCTTTTCATACTGTGTGTATCAATGCAGGTGAACGCCAGAACTGGTTTCAGAGTAGAAGAAAACAACTTCCATGTGACTCAAGTGAAAGTGATTATTGATTTTTCTTGGTTGTTTGATGCAGCAAAGGTAAGTACAAAATCTTATCAGCAGTACAAGGGTGGGTTCTTTTTCTGTTTTATTTAAATGAGTTGATAGATATGGAAGTCAGCTCTAGACTCTAGTCCAAAGACATCTCAAGGGCAATGCAGTTTACCTAGTCCTAAGGCTGTTCTAAATTATGCAAGCCATTTACCATCCCAATTTTTTTAGCAGATTACAATAGTGCTTCTCCTGAGTGGGAGCTGTCCTCCAGCACCTTAAGCAGCTCTGTTTGCTTTGAACTGGTGATCAGTGTGAAATAGCACCATGAGGGATGGTTACTATACTCCCTGTTATTCTGGATTTTATTATGATTAATTAACAGATAAATTGTGATGTCTTTTTAAACTTTTATGTAGAAACAGGATTGAGCATTTCAATTTACATGCCTCTAAAAACAAAGCCGTGGAACAAGAGATAATCTATGACATGGTTCGTTTCTTGATGACATGAAGGAGTGAAAATCATCTACCAAGAGCAACTGCTGTCACAGGAAGCAGCATGAAATGGAAATGTGGATAGTAGGGGCTTCCTGAGGCAAAAAATTAAAAAAAGCAAAAAAAACCAAAACCAAACAGTTTTCTGGCAACTTGGGTGGAATTCAGAAGGCAACTGCCTAATTCTTTCAGAAGCTTTCATCTGGTAATGTACCAGTTCTGTACCAATTAACCAGAGAAGAGGAGGAGGTTTGAGAAACAGTATAGAATCAAAATGCAAAGATGTGGTTACCTGAAGCTGCTGCCTTAGCAGACAGGAGATGTAACACTTTGAAGTAGATTATTTTGTATGCCAATATCTACTTTCAGTATTATAGATAATAAACCCAACAGGTTTAATATTATGCCTGGGTATCCAGGACATTTCTACTCTATATTTTGGGTTAGCTGAATTATAGAGGAAGCTATTAAAATTGTTTTCTCTGTTTTTCTCTTGGGGCACTCTAACACAAGTGTCTGCCTGCACAGACAGTTCAGATGCCTCTCTGTCAGGATCTCCCACTCACAGAAGTGCTTAGAAGCTGCTTTAAGAAAGCATGCTTCTGTTGGTGGTTCCCTCAATGGGAGGTTTACCTCAGCATCTGTATTAATTCCATTAGACATAAACCATTGTCCAATTCTGAGACTAAGATTGGACCTGGCCACACCTGAGCTCCATCAGGAGTCTAGAAAGCAAGGGGGTCCACTCTGAACCTCGTGACACAGTGGGAAGGTGTCCCTTACCCTTTTACTTCTCTGAACTCTGTGTAAATCATTCTAGCTTGATTCTAACTCAATTTTCCTTTGTGTGTTTCTTCCATGTAGTAAGTAATAGAGTAAACCTTGTCACTGAACTTTCTGAAGTTGCACTTTCACAACATCATATACAAATCATTCTTGCTAATGCCTTTGACAGTGGTTATTTAAGTCATCTAAATCACTCATTCCACAACAAGTTGGCCTAGTCAGCAGGAGCCTTTATCAGGATTTGCAACGTGGTGTACACAACAAAAGCATGTTTGAGAGAGGCAAGAATTTGCCAGGGTACAAACTGGCAGTTCAGTCTGCACGTGTAGCCCCAAACTCTGATTTTGCAGGAGAAATCAGCATGCTTTTTTCTTTCTTCTCCTTTCAGATGGCCCTACAGACGCTGACCCAATATCCATGCATATTTGACATGCTGGACAAGATCATCACTCATAATATAGAGTGTGAGACTCTGTCTGGCTATGGTGTAAGTGTGGCCAATATTTTTTAAAATTGAGAAGAGATAAACACACTGCTAACAGACTGATATTTCATCTTCAAATACACTTAATCCTCATGCAGCAGGAAGAATGGTTTTTTCCTGTCAGAAGACAGTGCCTTCTGGAAGACATATGGACCCATTTAAATAATGCACCAACCCAGCAATTCAGGAAGTTCTTAATGGTAAGATACCAAATTGTATTATTTTTTTGCTCTGAATATCTTGCTGCAGTGTTCTTTGGCTTTTGGTGTTACTGAAGTACTGGTAGAAAGGTTTCAGTATTCACTGAGTGTACAACAAAACAACTACTCATTGAATTATTATAAAACATGTTCCACTGGGGATGTAGAGTAAGTCTGGAGGGCAGTACCTTAAATTCTTATCTGAGGTAGCTATCAGGCTTTGTTGCTCTAAGTTAAATGCAAGAGGCAGTGCTATTTACTGTGAAGTTGCTTTGAGGTAATGCAATAGGATTGCTCAGGAAGCTGGTAATTGGCAAAGTCCATTACTGTTGTTGCTCCACTGATGTTAAAGGCTCAAGGCTAGTTTGCTGTAGGTGAAAAATTCAGTGGCTGGGGAGCCAAGCTTAGAGGCTGTCAAGTGACAGCCTCAGCAGCTGCTTCTCTCATGGAGGTGCTGCCCAAAGGGAGAGGAAGGGTCGTGTCAGCAAGAGAGATGAACTGCTGATGATACTGCTGCTGTCTCCACATGGCTTAGTCTGGGGTTTCCACACAAACCCAGAGGCTGTGGCAGCTCTGTTTTCTTCAGGTATTGCAAAGCTAACCCTGCCCTGCAAAAGCCATGAGATGTCTGACCTGGGAACAGGGCACCTGCCCAGAGCAGACCCCAGCTCAGGGACCATGTGTTGTACCCCTCATGGACACAAGGGCCATCAGAGTCTGGCACCACGCCCGTGCAGCAGGAGCTGCCCACCTCAGTGCCCTATTACCCAGTTTTGGTGCCTTCCAAGTCAGCCTTCTGGCCACCCAGAAGCTGCTGCAGGCACAGCCTTTCACACTCTGCATCACAGCATCATCTGCCTGGCAGCAGCCCCATCACCTTGACTGGAGAAGAGGAGGCTGACTTGGAAGGAACTCTCTCTCCAGCTGCCTGAAAGGTTGGAATGAGGTGGAAGTCGGTCTCATCTTCCAACTAACTACTGGTAGGATGAGAGGAAATGGGCTTAAATTGCATCAGGGGAGGTTTAGATTGGATATTAGGAAGAATTTATTTACTGAATGAGTGATGAGGCCTTGGAACAGGGAGGTGGTGGAGTCACCATCCCTGAAGGGGTTCAAAAAACACGTGGATATGATACTTCAGGATATGGTTTAGTGTTCATGGTAGCGTTGGGTTGATGGTTGGACTTGAAAATCTTAGAGGTCTTTTCCAACCTTAGTGATTCTAGGGTTCTAGTCTATGACTGCGTTGTTAGGGTCACACCAGTGCTCCATTTCTGCATTTTTCAGCAGGTAAAGGACATCACAGGTCTGTGTTGCAAATTGAAACCACCCTGTAGCAAAACATAAAACCCCCCCAGCCTTTGCAATGGATGATCATAGCATTAACTTGTCCCCTTCCTCGCCGGGTCCTGTTGAGGTGTTTTGGGAGACTGTACTGAGAACTTGGCACTTGACACCCTCATAGTGGTCTGCCACCTCCTTCTCTAATGTTGCTGTAAATGAGAACAGGAAAGGTTGAAGTATTTAGAAGAAGTATCTTCTGTTCCCTCTGTATCAAAGAGGAGACAGTGCTAAGGGGGAAAAGATACTCCACGTACTTGAACAGCATTTGTAGCTGCCAGCTTGGCTACCAAATCCTGGGCTCTGCTGGGAGTTACTTTTCCTCTGACCTGTCAGGAAATGCCTCATGAACAAAGATGACCTAGGCTGGCTACCAAACTTGGGCACTTGGACACATTTAACAAATAGTCCAAGGACACAGATCTCCTAAGCAGACACTGGAATATATTGGAGGCCGTTCTAACAACACACCCAAATGCACATTTTTTCTGCAGCACTGCCTTTTCCCCTTATTTTTCCTAAAAATAAAAACAGGAAGCATGCAGCTACTGAACAGACAGACACAGGTATCACCCAAGTAAATTTCTTAATGTAACTCAAGTTTTGTAACTCAACATCAGCTTAATTTATGTTCTTCTGACAGCAAGACAAATCCATTTCAATACACAGCTCAGTTCAAAACAAAACCAAGGGCTGTAATTCAAAGAGAGATTCAAGTGCTGCACGTTGTCATTACTTTTTATTTAAGATCAATGATTTTGGTCAGGGTGCAGTTCTTCCTTGTAAAAGCGATCATCACTATTGGATTTTTATTAGTGCCACTACAAATGCACAACATTTGTTCTTGGGATAGGCTAGAAGGAATTAGTGCTTGTTATTCCTCCCCTTTATCTGCTTTAGAATTAATTAATAGGTTGCTGCAGAGGACTTCATACAGTTCCAGATACTACCAAGAAAATGATGGCCATCACTGGTGCCAGAAGGGAACTCTCTCCAACCAACTGCAGTACCTGATGAGATTTAAGTAAGCTGCACTGCTTGAAGAGAAGTCCAGGGGTCAGGCTGACACACCACGCTAGTTGTGCCTAAAAAGCTTAATCCCCATCCAGGTCCATAGGTGGAAGAAGACATACACTGGTATTGTAAGAGGAAGGAGGAGACTGTAGAAGCACAAGCTGTTTGTGCTGGTGCAGCCCTGTGGGAAGGTGTCGTCCACGCTGGCCGAGTAGAACAAACCCGCTAGGGACAGGAGGGGGACAAGGACAGTCAGGGTGGGCAGCGAGGGGAGCACGCCTCCGCCGGCCATCCCCCCAGGGTCACGCCTGCGGCTGCCGAGACCTCAGGGCTGCTTGGAGCCCTCGGCTGGGGCCTCCTTGCGAGTCGTCCTGGCGGCCTCCGGGATCATGTTCGGGATGCCGTCGATGATGGGGTACGCGATGCCCAGCTCCTCGTTAACGAGCTCGTTGGTGGCTTCTTCGTACCTGGCCAGGCACGACAGGGGGGAAAAACAAAAGGATCATAGAATCATAG